GGTCAGGGTCATCAAGGGTCAGTTCCGAGGAGAACCACACCTCTGGAGAACAAAAGGTTGCACTCTTCATGGTGACCTCCTGACCTGTATCTCCCCTTAACACTCTTTAACTGAACAGTTTTGAATCCCCAAATTAAAGAAATGCAGCATCATGGAGTGAAGACCCCAACGTGTGGCGTCAGTCTGTGGCAGCAGGTCATCAGGTCCAGGTCCAGATGAGCACACAGGAGACAACAGCACCTCCTGCTCTCGGTCTCATCCATCACTCCATCTTGTTGTTGAATGTATGCGCTGTTGCTCTTACTTATATGACCAGTTTACTCTCATGTGTCCTGAAATTCTACAGTTTGTAAGTTTATTCTCATGTTTACAGCTTTTGTCTCCGTCACAGTTTGACATAAACACGTGAGACACAGTTTAAATCACTGCTCAGTGTTTTTCAGACCAGTGGCCACTGGATAAGTACGTTTAAGAACCCAGTGAGCACTAAATATATATATGTGTATGTATATGTTTCTATAGTTGCCTATCACCATTACATATGACTAACTCTGTGACTCCCCCGAGGTTCTCCTGCGCCTGCTCTCTCTGTGGATGTCTCTGGATCTGGAGCTCCTGAACTACAGCCGCTGGCCTCACCTTCTGCATCCTGCTGCCCCACCATGATGCCTCCTGTTACAAAAGGACAATCACTTCTAATAACTTGTTTAACTGGAAACTAAATGTTAGAATTCATCCTACATCCACCCAACCGGTGGAGGCAGATGGCCGTCCCTCCCTGAGCCTGGTTCTGTCGGAGGTTTTTTTTCCCCTGTGGGGGTTTTTGGTTCCTTCCCACCAGCGGACTGCTGAAGCTTATAGAGAATCCAGATGTTTGGATTGTTGGGTGTTTCTGTCTTTGTGAAGCGCTATGAGATGACTTGTTGTTGTAAATATGCGCTGTACAAATAAAACTGAATTGAATTGAATTAAAGGCGTCCGTCCTCTGACGTCTCCTGGACAGTGAAGCTCCAGACCAGCCCTGAGGAGGAACACATCCATGACTGGTCAGATAAACTTTCTGTGTAAAACAAAGTCACTGGAATACAGCGAAGGCTTTCCACTTGGTTTGAACTGGGATTTTTCCTCCTAAGTAACTGTTAAGTCTTATTCATGCAGGTTCCTTGTACTGTTTTACCAGTTCCCTTTTTTTCTGCAATGTAAGTTGGGCTTTGTCTTTCTATGTTTTACTTAAAGTTGGGCTCCAGAAGTGAGTCTTTATAAAGCAACAGAGTAAATGTTTTCTTCACAGCTATGAGCTTTGGCTACTAACCCTAACCCTGTTCCTGAGCCGATCATCCTCCCTACATCTAGCCCTAACCTAACCTGTCGAGTGCCTTGTCTGCCTGTAAACCCCTAACCCTCTCCATCCTACAGAAGCTACGAAGGATCATCTGCTTTCTGCGAAACGGCTGAATTTAGGAATCACAGCTGGCTTCTTGATTGCAGAGTGACTCTAAATTGATTGCCGCTCTGCCAGCGGCTCCCGGTGTCGATCACAGTTCACTGATGACTTTATTATCAGTCATTTATTCTCTGTTACATCATGTCACGGTTTGACACACACAGGCTCAGGTGCAGACGAAAGACTCGACCACCAAACAGTTGAAAGGAACACAATTAAGTCACAAACACAAATGTGAGCCAAGTATCAAACAAGTTGGCCATATAAACGACCGCTAAACGAATACTTGCTATAGGGAAACTACCAAAACGTCCTCTAAAGGACAATGGACTATATTTACCAATTAATGATCAAAACTTGCTGGGGAGGGGGATCTGGAGGAGACGCAGGTGAACCAGAAGACTTCAGCGGAGGGACACGGAGGATATGGAGAGCTGGAACCAGAAGAATCCAACGGTGAGGAGTCAGGGATGAACAGTGGACCTCAAAGGCAGCGAGCGCGGTGAACCTGGAGCACAGGAGAGCAGAGTTAGAAGCAGAATCAAGGTAATGAGCAGAAGATATGAACAAGCACAAAACTAACGTGGGTTTTACGACGATCCGGCATCAACTTGTGGCTGCTGGCATCTTAAATACTGGATGCAGGTCTGGAGAGAGAATGGCAAGCCACGCCTCGCCCCAGCTGGACCAATCGACTAGTTGTGATTCTGAACACCTGGTCACTGTCCCACTGGCTTGTTGCACCGGAAAGTAGAGGTAATACAAATGTGCTCCACTAGATGGAGCCAAAGGCAGAGGTCATATCACATTCCTGTTGAAGGATTAGTTCTAAACGTTTGTGTGTGATTATGGTCGGTTCGATTGTGTATTTCTTTGTTGGAGGTTAATGACATCAGAATTCATGACTTCTGATTCTAATGCTGATTAATATCAATAGATTTGATCATTTACTGATATTTAATCTGGAACATTATGAACTAGTTTGTGAATTCTGTATTCATGGGGCTCCTGATTGTACATGAGTGCAGCTTTATTCACTAAGTGTCATTCCTACATTCATGGTGCGGCCGCCTCAGAAACAAGTGTCGCTACACAACTATGGGCCCGTATCCAGTGTACCCCTTTGGTTTCTGAAACTCTGGAAGAAGTTATTGCTGTCAATGGTGTGACCATCTGCATAGAAATGATTTGTTTCAGGAGTTTCAGTCAGAATTTAGAACCCACTGGTGCTGGCTCTGCCCTCTGTAGGAAGAAGACTGTGTGACTGACAGAACGTACAGATAATTTTAAATAGAAATACAACTAAACTCTCAGCACAGCGCCGGGTTCTACAGCACCCAGTCCAACTGGTCACATGTCCTGCTCTGGCCACACCCACTGCCGCTGTGCCAAACAAACATGCCACTTGAATTTCTGCTCTGCTCACCATCAGTAGGAAGATGTTCCACCATCAGATGAATGTATCTCCACCAACTGGCTCCTCTGGTCTCTGGTTCTGATCCGTGCTGCATCTATTCATTGATCCAGTA